CTAAAAAAGATCAAACATTCATATTCGTATACATAACAGTTTAACCACGACAAAGCTTCAACGTAAACAAAAACAGTAACATGAGCTTACAGCAACATCCTTCAGATATGGATCCATCTCATTACTCGGATAATAAAGGTCCCCAAGGCCAGAGCTAAATAGTTCAATCCCTGGGTCCAACACAACAAAGAAAGCAACTTTACATACGGAACACTGCAAATTTCGGTTCTGTACCAAAGAGCGTATAACAATCGAATGAGCTAAACGTACCATCATCCTCTTCATCGTAATTATCCATATCGAGTTCTTTCAAGCCTTCAGCTACCTCATCGACCTCCATCGAAGTCGAAGTCTTGCTTTTCGAAGATTTACCAAAAGCTTCTGCAACAGCCTTAGCATGATCAACTTCACTAATCTGATTTCCATCTTCTTCTACCTCTTCTTCATCCTCATGACTACCATCCACACTACACACCAATTTTCACATTATCATACTCTCATTTCCTAAAGTTTAAGATACAGGGAACAATATGAAACATATAAACAACAATTCACCTTCTTGCAAAAGCTCCACTCTCAATAAGCTCTTTGATTTCTTCCTTTGAAGGTGGTTCAGCAACATTAGGAACAGATTTAAGAGCACCTTTTGGTATCCATGAAACTGCAGTAATCATTCTGCAAAAAAAGAGGCAAAAGGAACGAAATTTAACATTTGTAAAACGGAATAATCATCAAATCGAATCAAAGGCAGGTTCTTGGGTACTGGGCACTTCGAAATTAGGGTTTTTTAGTCGGTTGATTAACTCGACACAAAGATTTCATAACTGGGTTTTGTGATTTCGATTAAATTTATAAGGAATCAGAGAGAACTTACGTTTATAAAGCGGCGCAATAGAAGGAAGATAAACAAGAAACAGAGTCAAAAAAGGGTTTTTTTGTTTAGGTTTAGGGTTTAAGGAATCAAAGATTTGCTTCTGAAGATTTGCTTCGAGAGTGAGAGAGAGCGGCGCCGAGCGAAGAAGAAGACAAAGAAACAAATTATGAGAAAATTGCATCAAAAGCCATGAAACATTTAAGTATTACATTAAAAACCTTGAACTTAATAAATTGCATGGAAAACCTTGAAACTGTTAAAAAACGCAATTAACTAATTAAGTAAAGTGTAAAACCTTGAAATTGTTATATTTTTCAATTTTATCCACAAAATATATACATATTAGATAATTCATTGTAATTAAAAATGTATTAATATACCTCTTATATACACACTCCCTTTATAAAAATGTAAGATATTTTAGTAAAAAACATGATGATTTTTTTTTTGTGAGTATCATGCATAGAATAATTTTTTTTTTTAACCAATTATGAAAAAGGCAACATAATAATTAATAATTATTGGTCACACAGTTTCTAACAAAGAAAATTTTGTATAAAATATCTTAAATCTCTTATTAAAAAAAAAAGAATTCGCAACACATTTTATATTTTGAAACATAAAGAGCAATAACCAACAATTAATTAATTGTTCGAAAAATATAGTGGTCTCTACTTATGTTAAACTGATGAGCTTTTGTTATGGCTCGAATTAAACATTGAGACTCAAAAAATAATAACCCCATTAGACAAGACAAATTCAAACAAACCTAATCCAAAAAAACAAAAAAAAACTCCAAAATTTGGGTTGATGAGTGTGTTCGAATCTAACGACCAAACCACAAGCTTTCACTGGATTCTCATGTTCGGACTCGGCTGCTTCCGTATCTGTGAGAGACATTAGTGTTCGAAAGTGTATCCCAAAATTTTAACTCTGATCCCTTTGAGCCACCGATAGCGAGTAAGAAAGGATTATCCGGAGAGAAAGCAATGCACAATATACCTCCCTGTGTGATAATCAAATGTTTTTTGAGTAATGAACAAATTAAAAATCAAGTAAAAAATAAGGGAAACAAAATAACTTTTTTGTTGTTGATTGGTTCTTACGGTATTTGGTGTATGTGAAGAAATGCATGAAGGCTTATTGTTTGAAAGATCCCAAAGCTTTACCGTTTTATCGATAGATCCCGTTGCCAAAAGCTGTTTAATTATAGCTCCAAAATGGTGAGAACCGGTGAAACAAACACAAAAAAAAAAGAACAAGGACACAAGAGAGAATGTGACATGAAAACTTAAATTACGGTTATTCAGATTTTTGGATCGAATTGCAACAAATAACGGAATTTACGAATATTTTAACCGATACTACGAGCTAGAGACTTACATTAGGAGCGGAAATGTTGTATGAGACAGAGGTGACTGCGTTGTCATGTGCATGGAGAGTGAAACTTGGTGTTAAATTAGAGTCTGAATTTGAGGCTTGACGTATATCGAAACCCTTTACAGTTCCGTCTTTCAGGCTCACCTATAAACATAAAGGGAACAAAATTTAAAATGTCTTAAAAACCCGCTAAGAAAATCAAATTTTAAAATTACAGTGTAACGCCATATACCACAAAGGAGTGTTCACTATGTGGATACCAAGCTAAGCTTTGAACATCAGACATGACAGACCATTTGAAACCCGAGTGCGAAGGTTTTCTTACGTCTTTCTACAACATATCAGATATGCCCGGTTCAGACATTTTTAAACGTCAATTTTTGTGAGGAAAACAAAATCATGTACAAAAAGACATAAAATACTAACCAATACAACAGTTTGATCAAAAGACCCACTTAGAAGTACTTCCGGAGCATGATGGTTCCAAGCAACCGCTTGAACCTGTGAACCATGCGAACAATAAACTGGATTAAGGAAATTAACCAGGGTGTCTATAGATCTAGTAGTGTATTAGGAGGCTTTCTAAAAGAGACTGATTCTCAATATTGCTAAAATATCACACATTTGAAAGTGAAAATGATTCTACACTATTATGTATATAAGGGATATAAGCCTCTCCAGTCGTTTGGTTTGAGTTGGAAACTAATAATCTTATAAATATCACAAGTTCGAGTATTGAAGGAGATGACTAAATTTATGTGATTTGGTCCTCAATATAAAAGAAAGGAATTGATATGAATGTTTCTATACCGCCTCTGTGTGATGTTCCATAGTAATCTTGCACGTTCCAGTAGCCACATCCCAAACCTTAACTTGTTTGTCGGCACTAGCACTTGCAAGTAAATTCCTTTTTCCCCAACTTAAGTTAACAAAAAAAACCTAATCAAACATTTTTGTAAAGAAGCAAATATCAAGAAATATATTCAATCATCGACATACCGAAACTCCTTATTCCAAGCAAGATCAAGAACTGCTTCAGTGTGGCTACCTTCTTTGTAATTCTAAGACAAAAAGACGGTCACCAATCAAATCAAAAGGATACATTTTTGCACATTTTGTAGTTACAATTAAAACCAAATCAAAGATATTACTCACTCCTTTGTTTTTTCCTCCTAGTTGTACACAAGGTAACACTTCGTCCATCTGAAGCATTACAATACAACTAATATTACAATGTACCAGTCCCATAATAATTTATGTAAGAGAAACCAACAATATTAAAATACTTTTTACGTACAACGTCAAGATCCCATATCTCTATTATGTGCGTATCCGAACCAACAGCTAGAAAATTCCCTACCAATACGAAACGCAAAAAACAAAATGACATTTCATTCGATAACAATAATGAAGATTAATGATCCCATTGGGGTGATTAATAGAAATTTTATTTATGTAACTAACCATTTTCTCCTCCTTTAAGTGGACAATCAAGCCAAGCAGTACAAAATGGAAGTTTTGGTAAAAATATCTCTTGATGACTAAACATGTTTGGAGAGCCGCTCGATGTTTCCTCACATAAATAAACCTGGTCATGCATTCATATAAGTTCCGTATAATCGGATTTGCGCAGCAAAATAAATAAATAAAAATGCGAGAAAAGGATTTACGAACGTCAAGAGAATTTGCTATCTTTTTGCTCTTAGCGCATACAATCATTGACTCGGTTGGTAAGACTGTCTCATCATCATCAGAGTCGTCGTCATGATCCTAGAAGAATGAATATTTTAGATTGTGTATTATATATATAAAACATGATACGTTTCCATGAAAATAAGAGAAAGTGATATAAGGGATTGTACATTATTATCCTTGAGATATGGATCCATCTCATTACTCGCATAATAGAGATCCCCACGCCCGGAGCTAAAATTTTCAATTCCTGAATCCAAACACAACAACGAGGTATATAACTTTATACACATGGCCAAAAATAGTTAGAAATTTCACATATGAAATAATCAGCTATAAAAGATACGAGTCAACATTTGGTTTTGAGTTAGAAAACCATAAAACTTATCATAAGCCCAACTTATTACCATCATCTTCTTCATCATAATTATCCATGTCGAGTTCTTCCAAACCATCATTTAACCCATCAACCTTCATGGAAGAAGAAGCATTCTTGCTTTTAGAAGAGTTTCCAAACTCATTAGCCTACGGCTTTCGCATGAGCAACAATTTCACCATTCTCTTCTTCATCCTCACTGTAAAATTGATCACAACTCTCTTTGAGCTTTTCGATTTCTTCATTAGAATGAAGTATGGCACGATCGGGTATGACCTTTGCAGCCCCTTTGGGTACCCATGCCAATGAAGTTATCATTCTGCG